TTTTCTCATGTTTCATGAATCATGAAACATCATGTTACATAAAGATTGAGTAACATATAAGATTAAATTCCATCCCCGTTTAGAACTTGTTTATATACCAATATGTAGTGGCAGGCGTTGAGATGCAAAATTTAGGGTGTTTGGTTGAGTGCTTACATAATTGATTTAGTTACAGGTAAGCTTGAACTGAAGTATTATATGTTTTAAACTTAAATTTGAGATAAAGTGGGACATAATTTTCTCAACTCAATACAAAAGCTACATTTTTTCACTTTTAGTTAAACATGCTTTTAGAAACAAAATCACAGTTGATAAAAAAATAATAAACATGTCCTTTTGAGTCAAAATCATCTCTGGGATGCTCAAGTGGAAGTTGATAGGTTCCTAATGCATTCCATAACCCAAACATGTAGTAATAGCAGGGATCTTCTGTTGTTAAACTTAGGCATCTATGTAATATAGCAAACCAGTCACTAGTTTCGAATTATCTTTTGTAGTTTCTAATCTATATTCATAGATGTTAGTTTTAATAGAATAGTTCTTATTTCTGGTTCAATCATATCATCATCAGCAATGTTTTATGGGTGGTTGGTTGCTGATTTTGATTTATTTTTTTCTGCAGAATTTAAAGCACAATCCAAATGGGAGGTTTGTTGTTGTATGTGGAGATGGTGAGTATATTATATACACTGCATTGGCTTGGAGAAATAGGTCATTTGGTTCAGCACTGGAATTTGTTTGGTCTTTTGAGGGAGAATATGCTGTCAGAGAGAGTACATCAAAGATTAAAATCTTTAGCAAAAATTTCCAGGTTTGTACTTCATTAAAAACTTTATAATATTGTGCTTTGTGTAATGAAAGTTGTGATGAGAACTGTTAGAATAATTTATATATCTTCTAAGCAACTTTGTAAAAGCTGTTTTTTTGTTGTATCTGTCTATCATCTAGAATCCTAGGACCGCACTTTATTATGTTTCTTATTTTCTTTTGTTGTTCTTTTGTGTGTGTGTGCTCTACCTGTTATTGTTTGACGAGGAAAACATTGTTTGCTGTCTTTTGTTGCTGGCTACTGTCTTTCTCTCCAGCATGCACCAAATCTAGAACATCTGAGTGACACATAACCCAACTGATCATAGGGGCAAATCCCACCTTACACCACTTATTTGTGCCAAGGCATGGGTTCCACGTGCTGCCTTTTGGTCACTAGAGCTATCTCATTCCACCTCAGTGGTTTCACCAGCCTCTTTAGTCCCTGTTTTAATCCTCTTTCTGTCCTTCCTCTACTAGTTGAAGCATTGACCTTCTTGAACACCTTCTGGGTTTCCGTTTGTACCCTTTCCTCCAAAAGTCTCTTTTGCACCTGCCCATTCTTTTTCTCAATTACCTCAAAAAGTTTAATGGAAAATTTTCCTAACTTGGTATGCATTTTGTTGGCCAAGATTTCCATAATCACTTGGAAAAGGATAGTAGTAAAATATCATTAGAAAAATGTTGAACAATGGAAGAAGCTACAGTTTCAACTTTGCACTTTGTTTTGACTGCTGTGAAACCCAATATTTTGGGAACCCTTATAATTTAAAATGTGTGAATTTTTTTTGAAGAAGACTCAGTATTTTTTCAAATAGCCTTCAACGGCTTTATGCTGACATCTCATAAAGAAACAAATCATGACATAACATCTTTCATTGCTGAAGTTCAATATGTTATGGTGGAGTTAAAGATTTTCTTAGAAAGTTATTCACTAGAATAAATTAAGAAGTTGAACAAATTTTGATCATATTTGAGATTAAATCTTAACTGCTCAAGAAGTTCCACCAATGAAGAGAGCTTAACATCACGACTTCTTCGTTTCCCAACCCTTATAAGCATAAATCTTCATGAATCCTATGCTATTGTATGTACTCATGAAAGGAGAGATTGTGGCTTAGAAGAGAGTTTGGGAGGTGAGGATCTCCTTAATCATCCTAGATGTGATAAACGGTGATTGTTAAATTCAGTCTCTTGATCATAGTAGTAGTACATAGGAATTAGTTCCTCTTCCACATGGTAATAAAACAATTTTGATGTTGATGGACTTACTCCATTAAAGTTGGGTTAAATTTTGAAGTTGATCATCTTAAAACTAGATTGGTGGCGAAAGGTGTTTGATCAAGCATGTACCATTACATTAAAAGTTAGCTTTTTGCTTAGTGGTAAGAGCTCAATTCAAGAGTTGGAATCAAGGCTACGATCACGAGTTTGATTCTTAGTGGCACAATTGTTAATGTGGAGATTGTTGTAGGTTATATCAATTGTTTTGTGACTTAGGCTAGGTAAGTCAAGTTAAAATCAAAGAGTTTTATTCCTAGTAGGACAATTGTTGAGGGGTAGATTGTTGCAGGTGGAATGTCATCAACTATCCTGTGACAAAGGTCATGTGAGTTAAGTCACAATGAAATTGTGGTGTTTGGGATGCAATGCTCTTGAGTAGAAATAGTTGTACTTTGACTATCAGTTGTAGCTTTTGACTTAGCAGTAAGTGCTTGATCCAACAAAAAAGTAAGTGCTTGATCCAACAAAAAGGTATACTCAGATTATGATGAAACTTTTTCTCATGTGACAAATGACTATTGTCTGACTCTTCTTTGGCATGACAATTATTCACCGTTGGCTTCTTCTGCAATTGGATATTAAAAAAAAAAATTCTTCATAGTGATTTGTAAAGGAAGAATTCCTTTTGGAGCAACTTGTTGGATTTCTTGCTCAAGGGAAGTCTAGGTTGCTTTCAAAGTTTTGTCGGTCTCTCTATGGTCTCAAGCAATGTCCACACATTTGGCTTGGAAAATTTGGTCACATTGTTCACAGCTTTGAGCTAAATGCAATGAAGCATATCATTCAGGTTTTTAGTGTCATACCTCTCTTGGAGAATGTGTTTACTTGATTGTGTATGTTGATGACATAGTCATTATAAAGAATGGTGATGCTAAAATATCTCAACTAAAGAAGCATTTATGCAATCACTTTTAGACTTAAGATCTTGGGTGTCTCATATTTTTTGGGCATCAAAGTAACTCAATCAAAGGAAGGTATCATACTTTCTCCAATAAAATATGACGTATATATCTTGAAAGTAACTTGCCTGATTGATTGTAGGCTCATGAATATCCTATGTATCTAAATAAAAAATTAATGGCAGAACTGGATTGAATCTTTCAGACCTAGAGAGATACTCAAAACAAGAATTTTGAAGCAGTCCCTAAGTATTGCAGTATCTCTATCCTTTCTTTCTATTCTTGTTCTGTTTTCCATAGTTGTATTGTATGGATTAGTTCCTGGAGTTATATTAGTCACAGTGGTCATAGTCCAAATATTTAATAAAGTTACTTTTATTACCAATCAGTTTATGACAAGGAGTGTCTAATTAAACTATATGAGCTATTAATTTTCCTCAAAATAAATATATCAGCACTAGAGTTTGACAAATTTGCTTCAAAGTGAACATCAGGGCTTCTATTTTTCATCTTCATTTATTGATTTGCCTTGATCATCACTTTAGGAAGTTCACTAAAATTTAATCCTCATTGTTTTATAGTGATCTCCAAATTGAAATAAAGTTGCTCTAGGGAATACTAAGTTGGAATTCAAACAATGGGTATTTCAGGAAAAGAGGAGTGTCCGGCCAACATTTTCAGCTGAAAGAATATTTGGTGGCGCTTTATTGGCAATGTGCTCCAATGACTTCATCTGCTTTTATGATTGGGCTGAATGCAGGTTGATATATCGCATTGATGTCAATGTGAAAGTAAGTACTTTGGTTAGGTGATAGATATTTATATGCACCTTTCATTCTTATTCCATTTTAAATTTAATTTTGTTAATTTTCTTGTGTCAGAACCTCTACTGGGCTGACAGTGGTGATCTAGTGACGATTGCTAGTGATACATCATTCTACATTCTGAAGTACAATGTGAGGATTCTCATGAACTTCATTTTTTTCTTATACTGTTTCCTTGCTATGAAACCTGTTTTGCCCGCTACAATTTTGATGACTGATATTTGTCAGATCTTCACTGGTAGTGCTATTTACACATTTTGACTTGCATTATTGCAGCGTGATGTTGTTATGTCACATTTAGACAGTGGAAAACCGGTAGACGAGGAAGGTGTTGAAGATGCTTTTGAACTCTTACATGAAATGAATGAGCGTGTTAGGACAGGCATCTGGGTTGGGGATTGCTTTATCTACAACAACTCCTCTTGGAGACTTAACTACTGCGTTGGTGGTGAGGTATTAACTCTTTTTCCATATAGAGTTCTAGTTTAAATAAAGAAGTTCTTGCATTCCTTTTTAATTGAATTACAAGCATAATCTGACACCTCTTGATGCATAATGTTATGTATTTAGGTTACTACAATGTTTCATTTGGATCGCCCTATGTACTTGTTGGGATATCTTGCAAATCAAAGTCGTGTTTATTTGATTGACAAAGAGTTTAAGTAAGTAATAGTTCTGTTTTGATTCTTCAAAGTTTTAAATTGAAATAATCTGACTATTTTCCTGTTTATCAATTGTTTTCTCAGTGTTATGGGATACACACTGCTTTTAAGCTTGATTGAGTACAAGACACTTGTGATGCGTGGTGATTTGGAAAGGGCCAATGAAATTCTACCATCAATCCCTAAAGAGCATCATAACAGGTAAAAATCACTTTGTGTCATTACAAGAGAATGATTAATGTTTTTTGAACGATTAGAAATATGTTTGGTACGGTTAGCATTATACATACTTTTGGTAACAGTTATGCTTTATAAAGTTATGTATATAATGTATTACATGTTACATTCCCTCTATACTTTTTTCTTGTCAAAGAAAAGTGTGGTATGATCCCATAGAGTTTCAACCTGCTGTAAAACATAATTGCATCTTTTATAGCTGATTTGGGAGTCTTTTGACACTTAATAGTTTTGTAAGAATAATTATTAAATTTAATTGGGACTTTGTAACATCGTTTTACTTCTCCCCATCCATCTTTGCTTGTAATGTTGCGCTTTTATTGTATTAAACAATCAGTGCATAATATTTACAGATAAGTGTTACATGTTTATTTACCTGTTGTTACATTGATTTATAATTGTGTTCTATTGCCCTTTAGTTCAAACTTCAGAGTGTCTTCATATTTGAAATTTGGTACTTAGTGCTAATGTATTACTTGCATCATAATTGAGATACTTGGTTTTATGATAGTGTGGCTCACTTTCTGGAATCACGAGGGATGATAGAAGATGCTCTTGAAGTAGCCACTGACCCTGACTACAGATTTGATCTAGCGATACGTCTTGGAAAACTAGACGCTGCAAAGGTATGTTCATGCAATAAGTATATGAGGAGATATTGCTAAATTCATCTAATTTCTCTTCTTGAGTTTGATTTGACTATTCATCCTCTTTTTGTTGCAGAGTATTGCAATAGAATTGCAGAGCGAGTCTAAATGGAAACAGTTGGGAGAATTAGCTATGTCTACTGGAAAGGTGCTCTCTGTGATTTGAATCTTCAAGTGTATTGATTTTTATGATATTTAAAGCTTGATTGCACTTTTAAATATTCATAACCAAATGTATTAAAGATTGCCATGATGATGTGCTGCTGAATTTGACCACGTGCACATGATGTATATTGATCTAAGTGAAACTTTTGTGATTCAAGAGACTATGGATTTTAGTTGTGGGCATGTTAGGATTTGCTTCATTGTAAGTTAGAAGTTATGGTCATGTGCTTTGTGTTGTAGATGCTGATTCTAGTGTATAATTAAGACGTTAAATGTTGTCTTTTTCTTGTCAGAATAAATAATAAATTCTAGAAATTGGGGGAACATGCATATTGCTTCTTGTTGCAAATGTCTCTTGTTCCATTGTAGCTCAGTGCTCACTGCATGTTCCATTCTTGCAGTTAGAAATGGCTGAGGAATGTTTGCAACATGCAATGGATTTGAGTGGTTTGTTACTCCTATATTCTTCTCTAGGAGATGCTGAAGGAATATCGAAACTTGCATCCCTTGCTAAGGAACAAGGGAAAAACAATGTTGCATTCCTATGCTTATTTATGTTGGGTAAATTAGAAGACTGCCTTCAACTATTGGTAGAAAGGTATTTTTCTAAACTTGTGCTCTTTTCCTTTCTAACATTAGTGGCAGGGAATGTTGATTAGACTTTAGTTACATATATAGCTAAGGTGTGCCTTTTACAGCAATCGAATTCCAGAGGCAGCTTTAATGGCTAGATCTTATCTTCCGAGCAAGGCGTCAGAGATAGTGGCAATTTGGAGAAAAGATCTCAATAAGGTAATTTTTTATTCAGGCAGATGATCTTTACTTAGGTTGGAACTTCCTGATTACTTCGACTATGATATTATGGGAGGGAATCTGAATCCTCTACAGCCCTAAAAAAGAACTGCACCTTCTACTGTGGAAAATATAAGAATATTCAACTGTATTTGGTTTTAATATTTTATCATAAAAATCTATTTTCAAGAGCTAAATATCTTCTGATATTAACCCATTATTGTCAGAAGACATGAACATTCTCTTCAGTTGCCTTGTTTGTCTTGTCATGTCGATAAGTTGCTAGTGGATATATTTTGTTACAGGTTAATCCAAAGGCTGCTGAATCATTGGCTGATCCTGAAGAATATCCAAATTTGTTTGAAGACTGGCAAGTTGCACTTGGTGTTGAATCTAAAGCTGCGGAAACAAGGTCAGGGCACAGAATGCTTACTTTCTTGCATCTTATCTTGAAGCATTCGTAGTTAGTAGATTAGCATTTTTGTGCAAAACATATTCTCCATGAAATGTTTACTTTTTGTTAAAGTTTTGTTTTTTATGTTAGGAATGTGTACCCTCCTGCAGACCAGTACGTCAACCATGCTGACAAATCACACATTACCCTTGTTGAAGCTTTCAGAAACATGCAGATTGAAGAAGAGGAACATCTAGAGAATGGGGTATGTTATTTTGTTTTATGCCTACATAAATAATAACCTCAATTCATTGTTAGTTGTGGTGTTAGACCGTTGGCTTATTTTGTTGTCCTTTTGTAGTTGACTGAAGAAAATGGAGAAGAGCACTACACAGAGGAACAAAATGGAGAGGAAGGAAGCCAAGAGGAGGCAGTTGTAGTGGATGCAGATTCTACAGATGGTGCAGTACTCGTTAATGGTAACGAGGCTGAAGAAGACTGGGGTACGAATAATGAAGGAGCCCCGTCAGCCTAAAAGCAATTGGTTGGGGTGGTGTGAAAATCGAAATTTTGTCTCTGGTGATTAATTGTTTCTGAAGTGCCATTTCTAACTACAGTTTGACGACTAGCTGTTTTTACTATAACTACTAGTACTACCTGGGTCCTAACTTTCTTAACTGCTCTCACTTTTTAGAGTATTGGATACTACACTGCAATTAGGCTGTATATTTGAGAATGAGGGAGGAATAAAATAGCATCCATTGTCAATACTGAATCATTGACTAAATATTATGACTATTGCTTACTAGAAATGAGGGCCCTGTAAATATAAACGTTACAGATACTGACTTTATGAATTCATCCTTGACCAACCATTTATTTGTTGTGTTTACTTACGAAACTTTATTATTAGATTGTGTACTATTACAGTATTACTGAAAACAATGTGAAAGACAATAAAGTTGTTTCTTTTAGAAAAAAATAGTAATTTCTTATCCTCACTTATCTATTCATTTTTGTTGGCAGTGCTTGCCCCACATCACTAGGTCTCATCAAGACAGTCTGTTCCAGCTTCTGGGATATTTATCTGAGGTTAGGATCATATTTTTCCATTGCAATGGTCATGACTCTGCATTTGCGGAAAATGTGAAAATCAGTAGGCTTAGTCAATTTACCAATAAGAATATTTGTTTTAGCATATCCAGCTGTATATTATTGAATGATAGTTTTTGGTTATTATCATGAAATTATTACCACTCAACAGACTGTTTTTGGATTTAATAACTATTTCTTCATTCTATTTGGATGCTTGCATTTTGAGTAATGTTGCTGAAGGTAGACCTGCTCGTTGTTGTGTGCATCTGCCAGTATTGCATGCTTTGTTGGATGATTGTGCATTACATAAACTTAATGTATTTTACTTTAATTTGTCGGTTTCATGTTATTTAATTTAAAATGCAGGTCTCCTCAAGGTGACATAAAGAGGTTTTCTGGTCTGGTAGTTTGTTTCCTGGTGTTGCGGTTTTGTAGTGCCCTGAATTTTGTCATTTTGCACGTGGTACAAACAATATTTCATAGGGTCAGTTAGAATTTGCTAGATATATAGCACATTCTTTGGAGGCTTTTACCTCAATATACTCATATCATTGTGAATGTAGAAAAAACGGAACTAGAGATGAGTGACTGCTTAAATTTTAGATAGTTTTTATTTTGAAAAAAAAAATCATGTCCGTGATTAAACATTTTATTTTTTATGGATTGTAAACATGCATGGTTAATAGAGAAAATAATGATTCCCCCTAGTTCTTCAACTTGCTGTTACCAACCAGTATTTCTTGAGTCTCTGCATTATTCCCGATCGTGTACTTTTGAATCATGAACCAAGATTGATAGTTCGAAGTTTTCATCGTCTGAGTAAATGAAAGTGGGATGAAGTTTGCTTTCATCATTAACTACCAATATGATAGTTCATAGTTCATTGCACTATTTACAGTGTATTAAAAGGGTGAAATACCCGTCCTTCCTAAAAATAGAACAACTCACCAAAATAAGTAAATTGTTTTGTTTTTTGAAAATTTAATTGGCAAAAACTTTAGTTCTGAATTTGGGAAAATAAATGGAAGTTAAACACTATTTAATTCAATAAAATGGGGTTCAATGGGTTTTAAATGCAATCATTTATACTATTTACCATTTTTTTTTCGAACTTTATATAAGAAATACTAAATTTGCTTTTATCCTAATTATAAAAAGCATAAATTTACTTATAGATGTATCTTATAGTTTAGGGGTGAAAATGAGTTTATAAATATCAGAAGGGATTTCATTTTATGATTTAAAATGTTATACTTCACACAATTAGAAATTGTCAATTCAAAAGTTGTATCGTACAAAATTTGAAATCGCAAACCAAAAGTTGGTAATCTGAAATAAAAAATTAAAGCTGGATGTACTCTGTGCAAGAATATTTTGAATGTTATTCCAAAATCAACAGTTGTTGAACTGGTGAAGCATTTTTTACTTTAAACTGTTATTAGAGTGATGCACCCTTTATGTGTGAACATATCGTAATTAACTTTACATGTTTGGTGGTTTCCAACGGAATGACAGTTAGTAATTAACGTAGTAACTTTGGTAGGCATGTCCATAACAGTGCATTCATAAAACACGTGTATTTTTAAGTCTAAAATATAACATGTTAAACTTCGACTTTTAATAATTTGTTATCATCCAAACTCTTGGACAAATAATATAATCTAAAATCTCTCACAGGATGGTTTATTTTCATAAAAGAATGTTTGATTTATTTTAAGTTTTTTCATAACTACGTGGTTTGAATTTTCTTGCAGTGAATGATAATTGAGAAAAAATATATAAAGTCTATATTTCGATGAGAGCATTTGTAAGCATTTGCTGGGGAAAAAAATTATGTTAGTTTATAAATAAATTAAGAACAATTTTTTAAAAAAAAAGGTTATTGCATTTCTACAAGAAAAATTTATGTATCGGTTAATTTTAATTTTTGAGTAAATTATTTGTTATTTTTCTTCTCTAAGTAAGTGCTTACGAAAAAAAATCATTCAAATGTATCCTAATTATATATAAAAAAAATTGAATTCAATTCACCAACTCCAAACGAGCCTTTTGGTATTTTCAAACTCATGATTAAATTTGTCGTGGAACTGAACCAAGTTTATGGACATAATTTTTGTTTTAGAAACTCATTTGAACACATTCAAATGTATGAAGGACTTAAAACTTAATTGAAATGACAAAAATTTCAACATGTTATAATGACTCTTTTACCAACTTTTATAGTATGTCTTCTATAATAAAATAATTCGGTTATTATATTGATGAAAACAAATTAAAAACATTAATAGTGGAATAAAAGAAACATGTAAATAGAAAATAAGTTTATATATATATATATATAAATTAATTTTTTATTATCATAAAAGATTGAACATATAAACTTGAAAATGTTCTTGTTTTTATATATACATAAAGAGATTTAGAGATAGATAAATAAGCAAAGAAATAAATTATATTAAAATATCAATAATGAAAGACAATTAATTTATAATGTTATAAATTTTATTAAACAATACATTGCTTGATTTTTTTATATTCTTCAAAATTTCCAATTGAATTAAATATTTATTATAGATAAATTATGTAGATAAACATTATTTGATGATATCACATTTCAATTTTACCAATCTTGTATGAATCATGAATATTAATGTAACAAAAAGCCACCTGTCTATATTCTAATTTTTTTTTCTCCTTAAAGGGAGAGTGCTGACAGCTGTGACTACTTTGGTGCCACTCTCATCTTCCCTCTCTCTCTCTGCTCTCCATCGTTTTAGGGTTTGCACTCTCAACTCTTCATTCTGTTTCTTATTTTTATTTTTATTTTCTTTCTGTTATATCTTCCGTCCTTAATTTTAATTTATGTTTTATTATTTTCTCTCACATCTATAATTTTTTTGAAATTGAAAGGGTTCGAGCAGGATCGTAAGAAATATCTTTCGTGTTTGCCTGTAAGTAGTCCATGCCGTACTTTTTGCCTCTAAATTTCATTCGACGTTTGATTTGTACCTCTTGTTATTGTTTTACTTTGTGTCCAAGGTTTTTTATGTTTTTATACTCCCAAATAATTCATATTAGTTTCATTATTTAGGTTTTTAGGAACATTTTGGTTCCCAGATTCCCCTGATTGATTTTCGAATTCCACTCTATTTTTCGTTTTCATTGGGAAGGTTATATAATCACTTTTGTTGATCCTCCTCAAATCTTCTCTATTCTATTATTATATTTATTTGTTTACTGTTTATTTCTAGCATAAAGGAGACAATAAAGGGTTATGAATATTTAAAAATTCAACCCTGCTCAAATTCTGGAATTGTGATATTTGACCTATTATTATCTTTAGGTGTTACATAGGTCCAATTTGATGAATAAACTTCTTCATAACACTTGTCAGAGAAGAAAATTAGCTAGGGTGTAAAATAATTTAAGCATCATGTAACAATAACATGACTAGTTTCTAGAACTGTGTTTATGGAAGAGTTTATTAAAACAGACCGGTAAAGTCTTCATACAGAATACGGACCTGTTGAAACTAAATATCATAACAGTTGTTGCAATTATATTATATTTTGCACCTTGTCACTGGAGTAATTGTTTTTGTGGGACTGCTCACGCGTAATGTTACCCTTCAGGTGCTTTCTCAATCTGTTTTTTCTCTCCGTTTTAGTTTACCCTTTGTAGTGCATTATTGTGAGTCAATGTACTTGACATAAATAATTTAGGTGTTTGTCTTTTGCTGGACCTTCTGCAGTCTTCTAAGGGAAAATATATTATGGGTTACCTTGTTGGGTACATATAGATGAAATTTCTAATCTGCATGTGTTTTTGTTAGTTGTTTGCTATTCTTTTTAGTTTATGGTATGTTGGCTATAATGTTTAATAATCTCTTATGAGATTTTTAATTTTTATTGTGTGTAACTTTGTAATGCTTGACTTGCTTTATTCATATAGATTATTTTGTTAGTTTGAATTTTTGCTCACCTTTTGAGCATATGGAATGAGAATTATAATTTCATGATTGCAGCTGCTGTTGTCCTCTGACTTAGTTGACAAGTAGTTTTATTTCTACAATGGGAGATGCTGATAATGCCCTTCCACCTTCAAAGAAAAGGGCTGCTGGAAGGGAACTCACTCGAGATACTCCCGTTGATGAGGAGGAAGATTCTCCTGAGCTTGAGACTGGCACTTTCAAGAGAGCCAGTGATGATGTTCTGGCAACCAGAAGGATAGTTAAGGTCCGTCGCCAACAAACTAATTCTGCTCCTTCTGCCAACCCTTTTGCTGGAATACGCCTAGTTGCTCCCACTGAATCCGGTGCTAATCTTGCTGCGACTACTGAAGTACAATCAGCTGGTGAGACCACTGGTGCGGATGATTCAAAGAGTAGTGATGGTATATCTAAGGATTCTGAGAAAGCTGAAGATGGGGAAACTAAGAGGTCAGAGAGCAAAACAAATGAGACAGAGGATAAACCTATTAAGGATAAGGATGCTGCCGAAGAAAGCAATGCAGACAAGGAGCATACTGCAGAAAAGGCAACTACCAATGACAAATCTCAGGTAGATAAAGAACAAAGTAAGGATGTCACAGGAAGTGAAAATGAGGATAAGAAGGAGGCTGCACATGAGGGTGCCGGTAACTTAGATAAAGAACAAAAAGGGGAGGTTAAGGATTCTGAAAATGATGATAAGAATGAGAACATTGACAATGAGGATAAGAAAGAGAGAAAATCTGAAAATGAAGAGGCAAATGCTGAAGGTGGCCATTTGAAGTCCTTTCAACTGCACTCAAGTAGCCAAAATGCCTTTACAGGTCTTGCTGGAACTGGATTTTCTACTTCCTCATTTTCCTTTGGTTCCTTTTCAAATGAAGGGTCCGGTTCTATTTTTGGACTGAAAAGTGATAAGCCATTTGGTCTTGGTTTATCCAACAATGGAAGCTCTGTTTTAGGGGCATCTACCGCTCCTAAGAATGAGGGGATTGGTTTAACAATGCAGGAGGTTGCTGTTGAAACTGGGGAAGAAAATGAGGAGGTGATTTTTAATGCAGACTCAGTGTTGTTTGAGTTTGTTGATGGCAGTTGGAAGGAACGAGGAAAGGGAGAACTGAAGGTTAATGTTGCCAGTGAGACAAAAAAAGCCAGACTTCTTATGAGGTCTAGGGGAAATTTTAGATTGATTTTGAATGCCCGTCTTTACTCTGATATGAAGCTCACAAATATGGACAAGAAGGGTGTTACTTTTGCTTGCATCAATAGTGCCAGCGAAGGTAAAAGTGGTCTTTCAACATTTGCCTTGAAGTTCAAGGACGGGTCCATAGTGGAGGAGTTTAAAGCAGCTGTCATGGCACACAAGGGTGAGACATCAACACTTCTCAAGACCCCTGAAAATTCTCCAAAGGCTTCTGATGATTGAGAAACATCTCCTTACTCATGTCCCCACAGTGTCTGGCTACTTAGACGTTCCTTCACAAAGATATTTTACTATCCTCAGTTCGTCTGCCCTTGTGTGGCATACTTAATTAGTGTACTTGAATTTGAGTCAATCTCCAAGTGATAAGGAACTTAATTTTGAATTTAGACTGCACAGTTTTAACTCTTTTGAACCTTGAAACTTGCTATAGTGCTGTTATTTCTTGAGCCTGGAGTTTTGACAAATTTGAAAGTGACATTGTACTTTGCTATTGTGATGTTGCCGCGGCGAAATCACTTTTTTAAAACTATTTTATTGCGACAACCGGGGCCGCCAAACAGATTTTGTGGGTTTCCTTTCATTGGCATCATACAGATATGAATAAGTCTGCTGGCTAAAGTTAAATAAAGTGGAACATGGTTTGTTTTGGTGCAAGATATTTATTAGGAACTGCATATGATTATTGTTTTTTAAAAGTGTTGTAATCCCTTTGAATGAGAATTGGGAGGTAGGAAAGGAAAGTAAAGCAAGCTAACCAAATAATAACTAGTGTGTCAATGTGTTCCTTTATGAAAACAGAATCCCTCTGAACGTTGATCTTCATTATAATCAGAACATATATTTGTTTATTGCAACTTGTAAATCATATTCTTCTTTCCTTATGATTACTTTAGGTTAAATATGATTTTAATCTTTTAAATATGAAATGTTTTTGAGTTTCGGCAGGAGGTCCTAGTCTTTAGGAGTACTTTAGACAGATAGGACTAACCTCGGGTGGCAGTTGATGAGAGCATTCCAGTTACTACATCACCCGGGTGCACGAACATCGTAGCTACACAGATTTCATACAGTCCGGACAGTCAGTCTAGTATTAGGCCTTGCTTGAAATGCATGATGAAATATCGTACCTGTTTGAATGTGAGAATTGTATGTTTGTACATAAATTAAATTACATAAGCTTACCCTGTGTTTTCCTGTGTTGTCTGGTTTTGTACGTCCGTCCTTGTCATTGCAATGACCATCCGTGTGGATGTGAGCAGAAGGAAACGAGTTGCTGGAAGAAGCGCTGGAAGAAGAAAATTTGGAAGAAATTGAAGTGAAGACCGAACAGTAGGACGTTCGGTCAATAGTCTAGTTATAGTAAGGTGGTCGTTCGATCACCTTCCCTTTTGTTAAGTATGACTATTCGGTATTTTCTTTTGTAAACCGTTCGGTCAGGTTTGCTTCTCCTTTTTAAAAGTTTGTTTTATTTTGTTCATTTTTCTTATAAAATTATAATTTTCAGTCTTCCAAAAGTAACGACGTTAAATTTTGGCTAAACTGGCTAATGGTGTGTCACGTATGATGTCAACTTTATAGTAATTGTGTGCTACGTTTCTATTTTTCTATGAAACTCAGAATAGGGTGTTTGAGGCTAATTTTATCTCTAATCAGATCACAAAGAAAGAGTTTTTCATATTCAAATGCAACTTAGGGTTTTTCTTGTGAAAGTTTTCTAATTCAATTGTACATTCCTTTTGACAAACACAGGGGTTTTTCAAATTCATGTGTCATGAAGATTCACGATATGTGACACGATTGTTGGTAATGGTGACACTTATGGCTAGGGTTTGAGTCGCGAAAATGATTGATGAACAACAGTGATGATTTTGATTTTTGTTTCTGGATCTATGTTTGATAGGCAGCCACAAAGTTAGGGTTCGTGATAAAGGCAATGGAGATTAAGGACCCATGAAGGGCTTCACGAATTTGAGTGGCAATTTTGTATGTTTTTGTTTTGTTGCAGGTGTGAAGAAGAAGAGGCTTGCGAATGGTGAATGAAGGGTCACGACTTTGCTTTCTATGGATTTTGTGTTTTTATTGAACCAAAGGATTTTCAAGCTATATGAAGATAGGAAGAGAATCTCTATCGAACCAAAGGATAAAGCAAACTCAGAATGATTGTAAGACTTTGATTCCATACAAGGATGATGGCTAGTGATGTCAAACATGTGGTCACAAACACAAAAGTTATATTTACAATCCTTACAAACAAAAGGATGATGTGAAAAAAAATTAATGAATATAAAATGGCCCATAATTATTGGTATGATTTAATAAGTGGATTCCTTTTACTTTTATATTTAAGATCTCTCCTAATTTCAAGTCTAGCATGATGTCTTCTAGGTTGCAATGACTTCCTTAGGTGGAAAGCTTGATAATCTCTCCTACGCAAAATTAATATGCTCATTTTTGTTGATATCTTGTGTTAGAAGTTTCACATCGACTAGAGATAAGGTCAATTTATAATATATAAGTGGGTGCAAACTTCACCTTACAAGTCAGTTTTGTGGGGTTAAGTTAGGCTTAAAGTCATAACTATGGTTAGAGCTTATCCAAGAGATATTTGTTGTTTGTTGGGTATGTTTTTCCACCCGCTATTGGGTCGTTATCGGACCACCCATTAATATCTAGTCGCATGCTCAAGATGATGTCTATACCTCGACGTGAGAGAGGTGTGTCGGAAGTCACACGGGAGAAAATTGCTACGATAAAGACGTTGTGGTTCTCTATGAGGATTGTCACAAAAAGTGTCGTGCCTTAATACCTTACAATAAAAATGTTTACGATATTTTCTCTCTCACTAGTTTGTTGAATTTTAATCTTGTTTATATTCTTCTTATTATTTTATTATGTTGCATCAATCTTCCATGTCTTTATTTTTACATGTATTTTCAAATAAATACTCTATTGATAACTTAACATATTTTAACAATATTAAACTTGATATTACTTATGTTATTCAACACCCAAGTCAATTCATTGATAATTACATTATCACTCATTATATAACTAATTTTCATTGTATGAAAAATAAAATATATTGACCGAACTAAATTAACTATTTACCCTTACATTTATATTGATTGTTTTAAGTAGTACTTTTAAAACGAGTCATCCAATCCAACCCTTACTCGATCTAATCTATCATGAATTGGTCACTTAGTAAGTCAATTTAACTCAATTTATTTATTAGTGAATAAAAAAAATTTGAACTTGTGACTTATCACGGGTTGATGGGTTAGACATATTGGTTCACCAGCTTGTTTAATAACATTTTTTTTTCAATTCCAAAAAAATAACAAATTTATTTCTAATTTAAATTTGAATTTTTTTTAATCCAAAATTATATTAAACTGTAGAGAAAACTTAAAATTAAAAAAAATATATAATACAATCCAAAATCATCTTAAACTCAAAATATAATCCAAAACCAAACATAAAAAACCAAAATTAGGTGAGTCGGATTAGCTCACCAAAGATTTAATCATGAGTCGCGTTTTTAGTGAGTTGGACTCAAAACTTATTCTATCGAAATTTCAAAAATAAAATTTCAATCCAATTTGATCCGAATTTCCGATGGCCAGATTAATTCATAATTTCAACTCATTTTAAAAACACTAAATTTAATAAGCAATTTTTCTCTTTCACGATATTTTTCTTTAACTTTATAAGAAACAAATCCTAACTTTTCTTAAATAAATGATTTTTTAAGAATTCTTATATCAGAAATAACTAATTTAAGTTTAAATAAATTGAATATATATTTTTTATCGATTTTCATTTTGTGTTCAAAATATGAATTTAGTTTTAGATTTTTTTTCCATGTATAAACAATATTTAAATAAATAGAATATAATGATGTGTATAAAATAATTTGTGAAATACAGCCTATGAACAAACATGTACAGAATGTAAAAGGAATACATTTACAAATTAGAGTTTATGATAAGTAAATATGTTTTAAGTTTATATAATAATTAAAAAAATTAAATTGTGACATAAACTGGAGCCATCTCTCACGTGTTGTCCAAGTCAGTAGTCAGTAGGCAACCCAATCGCTTACTCCAAATCCCAAACCGACAGGAAATTACTGAAATACCCCCGGTGATAAGATAATTCCACCACAACCCTTAGGCTTTTTAGAGTCTTCCTTCTTCGTCTCCCCGTTTCAATTCCAACGACACAAAATCAAATGTCCCAAATTTATTTAATCTAGGGTTTCCTTTCGGAACGCGCAAACCTTTCCTCCCACTCCCACTCGCATAATCTAGGGTTTCATCTATCTGACCCTTCTTTCTCCCTCCTCGTACGCTCCAATAATTTTGGGTTTCCAATTCGTTCATTAGCTTTTGGTTTTTTCGTGGTCGTGTTTTTCGTGTGTTTTGGTGGTTGCGATTGAATCAGATTTTTGGGTTTTTAGGTTTTTGAGGGGTTTTAGGAATGGCTACGGCAGGTGAAGAAGGGCTTGACTACGAGAGTGATCCCGAAGAGGCCACGAGATCGCTTGCAATGCGGAGAAGGCGCGAGGCCAGTGATGATGAGGAAGGCGACGTTGACACCGACGCGAGAAACGCCGCAGTCGATCGCCGGATAACCCATTCCGATGATTCCGACGGTGAGGGTGGCGTTGCAGATTATGACGACGAAGAAGAATTGGAAGAGGAAGAAGAAGAGGAGGAAGAAGAGTTGTTGGAAGAGGAAGAGGATGAGGGTAGGGTTGGAGAGGAGGGAGGTTTGAATGGAACAGTAGTTAAAGACTCCGATGGTGATGTTAAAGGCCCTTTGGAGGAATCTGGGAATGGAGATGATGAAGAGAAGAAGGAGAATGAGCCGTTTGCGGTGCCCACTGCTGGAGCATTTTATATGCACGATGATCGCTTCAGGGATAATGCCGGTGCACGCCACAGGTGTCTAAATCTTTACTGAAACCTATTCTTGATTTGTGTGCAGTGTTACGAGGTTGATTTTAAGGTTTTGTTTTTTTTTTTTATGTTTGTGTTTGTTATCTTGTTAGGCGCATGCGTGGTGGAAGGAGACTCTGGGAGTCCAAGGATGACAGGAAATGGGGACATGATAAGTTTGAGGAAATTTCTCTGCAAGAAAGGCAATACAAAGAGGTGATGATTGATTTTGTGAATTACTTGGAACAAATTTCTTTAACTTTTTATTTTTCCTCTTGAAGTGAAAGAGACCTTGTTTTGTAATCTGTGTAACATTTAGGGAAGGAGACCTTCTAAGGGTAGTTATCGAGGTCGTGGAGGTAAAACACGAGGTGTTGATCGCAGTGGAGGATATATCCGAGGTAACAGAAAAGGGTATGATAACAGAGGCAATCAAACACAGGCACCCAAGAGTGTTGTGCGAGGGAGAGGACCCCATAGGTACGAGCTTACTAATAAGAGCAATGATTCAGCATCTCATGTGCAAAATAAACAGTGAGTACAGACTTTGTATTATATAAGACCAGTTGGATTTGTGTTACCTAATACATGTTATACATATTAAAGGTTTCTGATCGTAATCTTGTTATGTCATTTTTTAAGATACGGGAAACAGCCCGAGAAAGTTTCGCATGGTGGTTCAGGGAAAACTTTCACTCCTGTCTCTAATTCAGAACCCGATCCTGTACCTTCTAAGAAACAGGTCTTTGCATCAAATTTGAATTATGCTTCTCCCCCTTTTTACCCTTCTAGTTCTTCCAACAAAGATACAAGTGTGACATCAAAAGGGGATATCCCAACTGCTGCTTCAAGTAGGAACGTTCGGCCTGGTGTTGTCGATGAGGGTTTTTTGGTTCAACAGAACAACGTACTTCTCCGGGGAAAGAATGTTGTCGATCATGTCAGCATGGAGAAGTTGTATATTGATGGGCCTGGCGCTCCATCTGTTGGGAAAGCTTTTAACAATTTGCATATGCCGCCACCTGGATCTTCTGGTGTTAATGCATCTCAATCTACTCATCCAAGAGGTACTGGAAGGGGTGGAGCAGTACCGGTTCAGATGAATTATCAGCCTGCTGCATCTCATAATCAAGCTGGTAAAATTGATCCAACTCAACTCCAGGCTATTCAGAGAACTGCTCCAGGGCGAACTTCTCCTTCTGTGCAAGCCCCTGCTGCGCAGTTGGGTCATCGACCTGGTAGTGGGTCTCAGGCTTCATCTCCCCCAATCACAACCGCTGCAATTGGTTCATTGGATTCTGGAGAAATTGAGTCAGCTTCGGAATCAGGTAAATTGAAGGGTGCATTGGTTGGGAAGGGAAGGGAGGCTTCCCAGGGTAGCGGAAGGGGTTCTTTTGTTTATGGTGGAACTATGGGTCCTGCTGGAAATATCAATGGTAATCATGGAGATCAGAACTTTCCAACCTTTTTGCCAGGTCAGTTTTAATCCGCAAACTTCTCTGTTAGTATCATAGTGCCATTATAACGGAAGTTTGGAATCCAATGTAATTATTGTCAATTTGCATTTCCGTCATTGTTATACAATGTTGCTGAGCGCGTGATGTAAAATTATTAGCATCTATAGACTGTGGAAGGTCAAGTAATTGGTTACTCTGTTAGAGATGGGTTTTCTTGTGGTGAGGGTGTCCTGGCTATCAACATCCGCTGGTTTTGTTGTGTTTATACTTGATGCATATATTTTTTGTATTCTTTGATCATTTTTTCTGATTTTCACTTGGCACTGGTGTGGCACAGTTATGCAATTTGGTGGGCAGCATCCTGGTGGCTTAGGAGTTCCTGCGGTTGGCATGGCATTCCCTGGATATGTTGCTCAGCCTCAACTTGGTTTGGGAAATTCTGAAATGACATGGTAAGGGTATTAATGACCGAATGTTATTCGCATGTTAGAATGGTTGAAATCTCCATCCTTAGTATATGCATCCGTGTACGGTGCACATTGCAATTTTCATGAAGAAATTTATAATCAATATTATATTTTACTACTTTAATCACAACTAATGTTTGGAATATCCATACACACAAGCGTCTCTTTCTTTGTGAAAACTAATTAGCTACCTATTTTTTGCTCTAGGCTACCGGTTTTGACTGGAGCAGCAGGAGCTTTAGGGGCTGCTGGAGCTTTAGGGGCGGCAGGTGCTTTAGGGGCGGCAGGTGCTTTAGGGGCGGCAGGTGCTTTAGGGGCTACATACTGTCCACCCTATCTCACTGTTGATGGTGCTTATCATGCACGACAATCAGGGCAGACATCTGCAACAGCTACTTCAAGGTTGGTTGAGATTATAGCTTTATTAAGAATTCGTATTGTTTTACGCTTTAACTATATTTTACTTCAAATTTTATGGCTTGGCATGACTGGTGATGTTTGTGTTTTATCAATCTATTCCATTTGTTTTGTGTGGGTTTGGAAGAGGTGTTTATGATGAAGTTTTTATGTTTCTGTAGCTTTTTGATTTTATGATTTATGTTTTTATGATTGAATGTTTGCAGCAAGGAAAATAATGTGAATAAAGGTAGCAATGACTGGAAGGTACCACCAAAGTCTGGTACGCATTGATATTCCTTTCCTTTGATAATGTTTACTCGTTGCCATTGGTTGTAAATAATTTATTTTTCAAAATTGATCTGTATGCAGAGACTGTAAATGATGAGTTTGGACAGCGGCATAATAAGCCCCGCAGGCAAGTTGATTTTTGAGACATTCTATTCATATAATGACTTTTCTTTTTGTGAATGCTTGAGCATGGTTTTAGCTGTTTTTTTGTTTACTGGTGGCTCCTTTTTTAATTAGATCAACATAATCTCGATGAATTTTGGTTATGTTCCATGCAGATACTCGGAGATGAACTTTGGGCAGTGAAGTATTATATAGAATGCAACTTGTTTGAATAAGAAGGTAAGATTTGTTATTGCCCTCGATCGATGCACATTATTTTTCTTCTTATTGTTACGTTTTTCTAAGTTTTCGTAATTTTAGTATCACAGGCCTTCTTCCTACTGGTCCTTTGTCCTCCAGCTTTTGTTCTGGAGTACTTTGGGCAGCGATATGTTTCAAGAATTTTTAGGTGATTATAGAACTTGTATTTCGTGGGGAATATTTTTTAATTTATTTGTTAAGGTTTACCTTGGACTATGTACACTGATGGACCTCTTTTTTCTCCCCGTATTCAATTTCATTCCTTGCAGTATATAACCGCCTGTTCACGCTGTTGTCCATTTCAAGAAGGTTAATTGCAGCTTGACAGGTGGTAGTTGCTTGTGTAATTGTGCGGTAAGTCCGATCGATCGCAAGTATATATGAATTTGCAGTTATGTTTTTTTTGGTAGTTGCTGAGGAAACTAAATGATAATTGTTGTCTTTTCAGATTTTTCTTGCGTTTTGCTTTCGTTAAGCTCGTGAGAAACATATGCAGGCTTTTCTACAACTATAGATTGTGGGGAAAGAACGACGATTGTTTTGCAGCAACTGATTTGATCGTGGAGTTAAGAATTTCTCGTGTAAATGGTTTTCTTATTCCTATGGTATTTGACTTGTGGTAAATTATCATGAGCCGTTAATAGTGTAATCCTTTATATTTTTCCACATTCAACCAAGTGTTTTTTGACTGCGTGCTATTTTTGCCTTCTGAATTTCTTTTGTTTCTTTTATCAAGACTTGAGACTCAGACGTCGTATTATGAAATGAAGTTAATATATAGTATTTTGTTACCAAGAACAGGTTCGGTATTCGATACTTGGATTTAATTTAGATTTAGATATGCTATTAAAAGTTGCATTAGAGATAATAATGGCTGTTATTTATAATAAATAATTTAAAGTTCTATTTCACGATTGAAAAGGCCAATAAACAATTTAATACTTTGGATGCTTAAAATTAAATTTAATTCTGTTTAGGAACTGAAAATTTAACGTCCTTTGAGATTTATTTTAATGTTTGATTCCAGAAAGTGGCCTTTGATTATTAGTGCCTCCGCGATAGAATAGAATAAAGAATTTTGAAAATACGGGGGAAGTTACTTTCAATCTAACAATAAAAGTGAAATTGTATAATTTTTTGTTTTCACTTTGATAGAATACTCTAGTTTTATTTTCTAACTTTCAATTCGATTCAGTTTTGTTCGGTTTAGTTTAGTTGGTTGGTTCAGTCAGTGTAGTTTGATTTAGTTCGATTTAATTGGGCTCGTTTAGCTATTTTGGCTAGTTTTGGCTTGTTTCGGTTTGATTTGGTTTTGTTCGATTTTGTTCGGCTTAGTTCGGTTTGGCTTGGTTCATCTTGGCTCAAATTGTTCGACTCAACCTGGATTAGCTCGATTTGGCTTGACTTGGTTCGGTTTGCCTTGGCTTGGTTCGGTTTGCCTTGACTCGACTCAATTCTGTTTGATTAGACTTGGCTTGGCTTGGTTTGGTAATTCGGATTAGGTCAGGTTAACGTTAGGTTGAAACGGCACTGATCGAGGCGAGTAGAAGAGGGTAGGTTCGGGTGCGATGCGGTTCAGTTTGGCTAACTAATTTTTGGTTAGGTTGGGCTGGACGGGTCTAGTCGAGTCAGGTCGGATTAGGTTTGGTTGTGTTGGGTTTGGTCGAGTTAGGTTGGTTTTGGTCATTTCAGGTCATGTCGATTTGGTTTGGTTTGGTTCGGTAAGGTTGGGTTGGGTTGGGTCTGGGTCTGGTTCAGCTGGGTTGAGTTGGGTACGGTTTGATTCGGTTGGGTTGGGTTTAGGGTTTTAGGTTTCGGGTTGGGTTGGGTTTTGGGTTAAGTTTAGGGTTGGGTTCTGTTAGGTCCGGTTGGGTCCGATTCGGTTGGGTTAGGTCTGGTTCGATTGGGTCCAGTTGGGTTTGGTTGGGTCCGGTCCAGTTTTGTTTGGCTTGACTTTGGTTGGGTTGGGTTGGGTTGGGTTTGATTCGGTTTAGTTCAGTTGGGTTCGGTTCAATTCGGTTCGGTTTGGTTGGGTTGAATTGGGTTCAGTTCGGTTGGATTCAGTCCGATTGGGTTCAGTTCGGTTCAGTCCGATTGGGTTCGGTTCGGTTCAATCCGATTCAATTCGGTTCGATTGAGTTCGGTTCGGTTCAGTTCGATTCGATTGAGTTTTATTCGATTTTGTTCGGTTCAGTTGGATTTAGTTTGGTTCGATTTAATTGTGTTTGATTTGGTGGGGTTTGGTTCGGTTCAGTTAGGTTGAGTTTGGTCTGATCCAATCCAATCTAATTTTATTCGATTAGGTTCGGTTGAGTTCGATTTGTTTCGTCATTCGATTCGTTTCGTTTGGCTTGGATTTAGTTGACTAATATTTGTGTGTAAATAATCTTATAAAATCAGTCATTGCTAGATAAATCATTGATTAGCTGATTGGATAATTGAAGTAAATGCAATAAAGTCAAAGTGGTGGGACCTAAGTCAAATGCCAGGCAGGCCGTTGGATTGATCCAACAGTCAGAATCTCAGGACGAGACTACCGACGTTGCAGTGCAGTGACTCGGATTGAAATTCTGAATGATGGCACGTGCAGGACGCACGTGGTATTGTAATTGTTTCTTTCTATCTCGCTGAAATAACTCTCAGAACTTCTCACAGTGACACTGCAAACTTTCTCTTTCTCTCTCTGAGCTCTTCAACGTGTATTGAAAGAAGCTCAGCTCAGTGTTCAATCGAAGAACAAGCTTCAAGAATCGCTCTTCAAACCCAATCATACCAGATCTTGAACGATTCATGTAATGCCCCTCTATCCTCTTCGCTATTTTGCCATTTTTACATCATAGGTTTCTTGGTTAAGTAACTCTACCTTCTTCATTTGCTTCAATGTTGTGCGTTTCCTCTTTTGATTTGGAATAAATAAATAGAAACAAACCCAACTCTGTTTCCTTACAAACAGCTAAATGAAATTGTATTATTTTACTTCCAGTGGTTTTCGTAGGACGATAGACGGAGCAATCTTGAGAGTCTAGGGAAGAGAATAACAAGAAACGAACTGTTGAGTGTTTTGGAGAACTTGTAAAAATTATTTTTCTTTCTTTCTTGCTTTCTTTCTTTCTCTTTGGATGAATTATGATGGGGAAAATGCTTCTTTTTGTAGTGAATTCAGAAAAATATTGTTCGAGCTTGAAGCGTTCTTTTTTAGTGATATGATAGTTCGGGAAGCTAATGGAGGAAAGCAGCAATAGAGGGGAATTTCAGCCTAATTTGGCTAAGCAGACTTCATTGAGGTTAGGTGGCAGTTTTAAATCAACGTTATCTGGAAGATCAAGTCCGCGAAATTCGCCGTCATTTCGGAGACTGAATTCTGGTCGCACACCAAGAAGAGAAGGAAGGAACAGTCTAGGCGGGGCACTGTGGTTTCGGAGCAATCGTTTACTTTTTTGGTTGCTTCTAATTACCCTCTGGGCTTATCTTGGATTTTTCGTTCAGTCGTGGTGGGCTCATAGTGATAAGAAGGAGGAATTTTCTGGCTTTGGAACGGGGCCGCGAAATACTGGCTCAGACGCTGAACAAGTTCAGCGCCGTGATTTACTTGCTAGTGATAATTCATTGTCTGCTAATAATGAGACTGATGCAAATATAGCAGGGACTAGTAAAACTATAAATGTAGCTTTGGCAAAGAAAGGCAATGATGTTCCGTTACATCGTAAAACGAGCTCAAAGAAGAGGAGCAGGAGAAGACGTGCTTCGAAAGGTAAATCAAGTGGTAAGCTGAAACCAACTACAGAAGTTAAGAACGCTGATATAGAGGAGCAGGAGCCAGAAATTCCTACAGCCAACAGTACGTATGGATTGCTTGTTGGTCCGTTTGGCTCAGTGGAGGATAGGATTCTGGAATGGAGTCCAGAGAAACGTTCTGGGACATGTAACAGGAAGGAGGACTTTGCACGTCTGGTTTGGTCCCGAAGATTTATCTTGATATTTCATGAGCTTTCCATGACTGGAGCTCCACTTTCAATGATGGAGTTTGCAACAGAACTTTTGAGCTGTGGGGCTACGGTTTCAGCTGTTGTGCTTAGCAAGAAAGGTGGTTTGATGTCAGAGCTTACTAGGAGACGGATCAAGGTGATTGAGGACAAAGCTGATCTCAGCTTCAAAACTGCAATGAAGGCCGATCTTGTTATTGCTGGTTCAGCTGTCTGTGCATCATGGATTGGTAAGAACAGATTGGTAACAATTCACTATGTCTATTGTGGTTTTTAGTGTCAGAAAGTAGTTGACGTTTATCAAAGGCTTAGTTATTAATCTCAAACTAGTTCTGGAATAATTGGTATAATCATTTTTAAACCTGTCATGCAAGGATACAATATTATATAATTCGATTGTCTCATTAAAAGGCATTGGCAGAGGATCCTCACCACCATGCCTTACTTCCTGCGTATAAATATAAACTTCCAACCTTTTAATATTTTGAAAGTTTGAACTTTGGAAATTGTTAAAACAATTGATTTTGATTTTACATGGAGGTATGCATATTGCTCTATTGGTTGATTGGAATCTTCTACTGTTATCAAGTTGAAGACTTGTATATTTTGTTGTAGTTTATAATTTGTCGATGCGTGTTTGTAATTCCAGTTCTCTACATGTCTTGATAGAAAATCATTATCTTTTTATATGCTTCCAGAACAATATATCGAACATTTCCCTGCTGGTGCAAGCCAAGTTGCCTGGTGGATTATGGAAAATCGTCGAGAGTACTTTGATCGTTCCAAAGATGTATTGGGCAGAGTAAAGATGTTGGTTTTTCTTTCTGAATCACAATCTAAACAGTGGCAAAAGTGGTGTGAAGAGGAAAGGATAAAACTTAGATCCTACCCTGAAATTGTTCCATTGTCTGTTAATGATGAACTGGCGTTTGTAGCTGGTATTCCTTCAACACTTAACACTCCATCCTTTAGTACTGAGAAAATGGTGGAGAAAAGGCAGTTATTGCGAGAATCAGTCCGAAAAGAAATTGGCCTAACTGATAATGACATGCTTGTGATATCACTTAGTAGCATCAACCCTGGGAAGGGCCAGCTATTGCTTCTTGAATCAGTAAGCTCAGTACTTGAACAAGGATTGTTGCAAGATGATAAGAAAATGAAAAAGGTATCAACTATGAAGGAAGGCATATCTACCCTGGCTAGAAAGCATCGCAATAGAAAATTGTTGCCGGTGTTGAAGAATGGCAAAGTAGCTTCGAATGATATCTTAAGCAGGTTACATGAATCTAAAAAAAGGTTTTTATAATTTATGGTTGTAAAGTATACAATTTTTGTATGTTCCACTGATCATGAGAATTTTGACATTCACAGGAGGAAACAAGTTTTGCCTAATGACAAAGGAACAATTCAACAATCTCTCAAGCTTCTTATTGGTTCGGTTGGATCAAAGAGTAACAAGGCGGATTATGTTAAAAGTCTTCTAAATTTCGTAGAACAGCATCCAAACACCTCAAAATCATTTTTTTGGACTCCAGCCACAACTCGGGTTGCCTCACTTTACTCTGCTGCCGATGTTTATGTTATAAACTCTCATGTAAGATTAAAAGTTAAATTATTTGTAAAGTAGTTTATGAAATGTTTATACACACATAAATAGGTGTAAGTATCCTTCATTGTTGAGTGTGCATTTGCTTATGAATATAGTTTAAATCTGACGTCCATTATATAATATATACTTCCAAACAAATCTACTTGTAAATGACAACATTGTTTCAGTGTGTCTGAAATATTATTATGATGTCATGGTAAGTTATTTGTTGATGCAGATGAAATATTTGCCTTTTTTTCTCTAATTTGGATTCTAATCATATTGTCTTGATGACTTGAATTTGTACCTAGCCTGTTTAGTTTTCTCTATCAATAAAAAATAAGATTTAATACAATTCTGCAATGAAATTATTGCAAATAACTATGAATCCAGTTTTTGGTTCTGTTTTCTTCCAAACATAATAAAAAAAGCATTTCATTTTGCAACTTGACATAATTGCTAAAACTACACATTCCAGATATTACTTCATGCGGAAATCGAATTAATTGTAGAAAGAACTATTTTCTAGTATGTAAAGCTGTTGCTGATTAGCAAAATGGTGAACAGGGGCTGGGAGAAACATTTGGACGTGTGACTATAGAAGCGATGGCGTTTGGTCTTCCGGTATGACTACATTTTCTCCTTAACCTCATCATAAGATAGCTGTTGCAGAAGCATATGCATGTAACAGTAACCAGGAACTAAAAGCAATACCTTGTGATAACATTTTGGCTCCAGTTATAAGAAACTGCAGTAGGGGATGGGTGGCTCTAGTGTGGGATCCTTGATATTTACCTTTTCTATTTACTTTTTCTGTGAAAGTAGTTGATAACTTAATGATTTTTATGTCATCTCATGTGCATTGTCTGCGGTGTAGGTTCTTGGAACGGAAGCTGGGGGAACACAGGAGATTGTTGAGCACAATGTTACAGGTCTTCTTCATCCTGTTGGACATCCAGGGAATCTTGTTCTCGCACAGAATCTCCGGTTTTTACTCAAAAACCAGTCTGCAAGGAAGCAAATGGGTGTGGAAGGAAGAAAGAAGGTGCAGCGAATGTATTTGAAGCAACACATGTATAAGAAATTTGTAGAGGTTATTGTTAGGTGCATGAGAAGCAAGTAAGTGAAATAAGTAATTGCTTGGTACTTGCAATGCAACTCCCATTCTTTTATTAGATTGCACAAACCCTATTCAGTCCAATTTATGGGAAAGATTACCAGCTTGTGTGCTTTATTTCGTTTGGAAATAAATATCGTTCCTGAAAAAGCAATATTCATCTCTGTTTTAGGATATGATTTTAGTGACTAATTTAACTTTGTAAAATTAGTTTTGTAAAAGTAATATAAAAATATATCAAAATATTACTACAAATACTTCTTAAATTTCTCAATATTTTTAACATAATCACAGACAAAAGAAAAACAACTAATATACTAAATTTATTTTCATTCATTTTAAAGAAAATCACAGAAACTTAAAATATATGATAGAAACATATGAGAAATAAATATAATATTTCAGGAAAAATTATAAAATTCATACGGAAAAATATTATTTTAATTTATGTCTTATATTAAAAATATTACAAGAAATATATCTTTTACACATCTATTTGAATTCATTAACTAAATTACTTAGTTAACATCTGTCTTTTTCTTTTTCCTTCTCTTATTTCTGAAAACATCTGTCTTCTTAGGATCAGGATCACCTAAAGTTTGACTTATTTATTAATTAGATATTTAATCTACAAATGTCAATTTTGAAGTATGCAGAATGAGGATCCACCTTCTTATTATTGCTTCTTATCTGAAATGTTAAGTGTCAGTATCATATGAGTGTTGAAGAAGGTCGGGAAATACAAGTTGCAGGAAGTGGCCAACTTGTACAGACTTTTTGTCTAAAAAGTAAGTACAAATAATATATTCTACACAACTTTTGAGTGAATTCATTGGCTTAAATGAAAATAAGTTATTTTATTGAATAAACATCTTAATAATTAAATGAGTATACACACCAAACTGACGAAACAAATAAAAAGTTTCAGTGAGTCCAAAAAGTAAAGACTTCCTTTATTTTTATATATTGACTTTATGTTATGTTTTATATTATCTATCATCTACTTCCTCTATTAGATAATTTTGTCTTAATTGTTTTCACACTTTTTGCCAGTTTTTTTCTTTGTCTATGTTAAGAGATGTTTTGCTTTAATTGTTTTAGTTGTTTTCAGTTATTTGTTTCTTTCTCTATATTTGAAAAACATGTTAAACTCTATGATGTATGTAATATGTTATATTGAGACATTCTTTGTGTTTTTTATAACTCAATTGTCTTTCTTTCATATTTTTTTTTATTTTTCTTATGACCGTTGAAAAAACTTACTCATTATTGTTACGTGAGGAGAAGACAGAGAAAATAAAAAAGAACATGTTTGAAAACATGATCCCAATTTGACATTGATTTTTTATTCTTTTTAAATAATTTTGAATAACGGAGGATTAAGATGAAAAATATCTTGATACAATAAGGATGTCTTGATGTAATAAAAGATAAGATGAACATGTCACACCTTTGTCTCAAAAGAAAAGGATTAACATGATCAATTAAGACTAAAATGGTTTAAAGATTTAATTAAGAATAAAATGTTATAAAGATTTTAAAGAAAGTAGCTGTAGTTGTTAAGTTGGTAAAAAAATATTATTATTTGTAATCAACAAAGAGTGAAATTGAAATGTTTAAAATTGATAATGATTATATTATGTTTCAAATTAGTTTAATGAATAAATTGATTCATAAGACAATTACAAGATGTCAATAAAATAGTTTTACTAAAATTTTTGAAACGGATAAAGTGAAAATTGTTTGACTTTAAGTCCTCTTGAGGAAAACTACAAATATTTACCGTATCTAATAAATAAGAGTTTATTAATATACTCTAAAGTTTAAGATTTGAATAAAACTAACATAGTTAAATAACAATACAAATTATAAAAGTCTAAAAATATTTTCACAAATTAAAATAATATAATAGAACTGTTCATAAGGTAAATTATTAATTTAAAAAATCGGATATCATGTATAATGTAAATCAGTTTAACAGATTGTAGACTAATAGTGTTGATTATATTCCTACTTTCTTATCATAATTGAGCCAACCTAACATTGCCAAAAGGATACATTATAACATGTTTAATTATAATTAAGATCGAGACTAATAAGAAGATCATACACGGTAATTAATTTTGTTTTTAAGAGAGACATCATGATGGTTGAAGAGTCTTGTACGCAACGCTCATCTCAACTTCGAAAGCGATAGATTTAGTGGCAACTCAAAACCTCTCAGTTCAACCCAAGTTGAATTGAGAGTTACAATCTTTATGTTATTCCATTTTAACTAAAATAAAATTTCAATATTTACAACCATTTTAGTCATGCATGGTTGAATAATTTACAACATTTAAAATGAATTGAAAAGTTATCATATTTTTAAAAAAAAGTTTTGAATAATTATGTATATACCAAAGGGATATTGGCTATTAGTTGTAACTTGTACTGTTATGTTTATAGATAACAATGGCCTTTAGTGGATGGACGGTTATAATTTATTTTAGACAGAAAGATAAGAAATTTAACCATTATATATGTATATATTTATATAGTCCATAGGTCTGAGTTAGAATAACATAAAATTCATTGAAAGAGACAGAAAGATTTTGAAAAAAAAAATTGAATTTGGTTTTAAATTTTAAAGAAAATGTGAATGAAAAAGTGCAGATTTCATTGTGAGATTTGAAAGGCAAGAGAAAGAGCAGAGTGTAGAATAAAACTCCATTAGAGGTAAACTTTAACTAAAATGATGAAGCTTTTTGAGTAGAAGGCAAAGCAACTAAAGAAAACAAAAATGTTGCTTCATATAATGTATTTACATGAACTCGGCCCAAACAAAAACTCAGCTACTAGATTTCCAAAATACAACTGGATTGCAAGTGCCCAGTGTACTCCTCCGGGCTCACCACTTTGGCCCAAGCCCCATTCTTCAGATCCAAAACAAAGCCCATATGCGGTTCCCCGAACCCACTTGACCCAATAACAAACATGGTCTCTTCCCACACCCCCACGCACGCAACGTTCCGAATCTCACTGGGTACCTTCGCAACCCTCCGCCATGTGTCTCCCCGCAACACCACCACTTCACCGCCGCGGCACATGTACATTTCCCCTTCGGCACCATCGCCACCGTCCACGCATGTTCGAGGACACGCGGCCGCATCCAAGAACTCCTCCTCCACCGGGCCCCACTTCCAAGTGGCCACGTCGAAAACCTCCGCGCTCTTCTCGAACCGCCCCTGCATCTCCGTGCAGTATCCACCCACCACGCAGAGCCCGCCACGGCGGAACACGGCCTTGCACTCGTCGCGCTCGCGTGACATATCCGGGAGCGGGACCCACACGTCGTTCGCTACGTCATACGCAAGCGCGGACTTCAGCGCGTTCTTCTCCTCGTCGTGCCCGCCCGCTACGTACACCGTCTGATTTTGATCCGACGCGCACGCGAAAAACGTTCGGGGCCCGCCCGGCATATCGGCCCCACGCCGCCACTTGGNATCCTGTTGGACATCCAGGGAATCTTGTTCTCGCACAGAATCTCCGGTTTTTACTCAAAAACCAGTCTGCAAGGAAGCAAATGGGTGTGGAAGGAAGAAAGAAGGTGCAGCGAATGTATTTGAAGCAACACATGTATAAGAAATTTGTAGAGGTTATTGTTAGGTGCATGAGAAGCAAGTAAGTGAAATAAGTAATTGCTTGGTACTTGCAATGCAACTCCCATTCTTTTATTAGATTGCACAAACCCTATTCAGTCCAATTTATGGGAAAGATTACCAGCTTGTGTGCTTTATTTCGTTTGGAAATAAATATCGTTCCTGAAAAAGCAATATTCATCTCTGTTTTAGGATATGATTTTAGTGACTAATTTAACTTTGTAAAATTAGTTTTGTAAAAGTAATATAAAAATATATCAAAATATTACTACAAATACTTCTTAAATTTCTCAATATTTTTAACATAATCACAGACAAAAGAAAAACAACTAATATACTAAATTTATTTTCATTCATTTTAAAGAAAATCACAGAAACTTAAAATATATGATAGAAACATATGAGAAATAAATATAATATTTCAGGAAAAATTATAAAATTCATACGGAAAAATATTATTTTAATTTATGTCTTATATTAAAAATATTACAAGAAATATATCTTTTACACATCTATTTGAATTCATTAACTAAATTACTTAGTTAACATCTGTCTTTTTCTTTTTCCTTCTCTTATTTCTGAAAACATCTGTCTTCTTAGGATCAGGATCACCTAAAGTTTGACTTATTTATTAATTAGATATTTAATCTACAAATGTCAATTTTGAAGTATGCAGAATGAGGATCCACCTTCTTATTATTGCTTCTTATCTGAAATGTTAAGTGTCAGTATCATATGAGTGTTGAAGAAGGTCGGGAAATACAAGTTGCAGGAAGTGGCCAACTTGTACAGACTTTTTGTCTAAAAAGTAAGTACAAATAATATATTCTACACAACTTTTGAGTGAATTCATTGGCTTAAATGAAAATAAGTTATTTTATTGAATAAACATCTTAATAATTAAATGAGTATACACACCAAACTGACGAAACAAATAAAAAGTTTCAGTGAGTCCAAAAAGTAAAGACTTCCTTTATTTTTATATATTGACTTTATGTTATGTTTTATATTATCTATCATCTACTTCCTCTATTAGATAATTTTGTCTTAATTGTTTTCACACTTTTTGCCAGTTTTTTTCTTTGTCTATGTTAAGAGATGTTTTGCTTTAATTGTTTTAGTTGTTTTCAGTTATTTGTTTCTTTCTCTATATTTGAAAAACATGTTAAACTCTATGATGTATGTAATATGTTATATTGAGACATTCTTTGTGTTTTTTATAACTCAATTGTCTTTCTTTCATATTTTTTTTTATTTTTCTTATGACCGTTGAAAAAACTTACTCATTATTGTTACGTGAGGAGAAGACAGAGAAAATAAAAAAGAACATGTTTGAAAACATGATCCCAATTTGACATTGATTTTTTATTCTTTTTAAATAATTTTGAATAACGGAGGATTAAGATGAAAAATATCTTGATACAATAAGGATGTCTTGATGTAATAAAAGATAAGATGAACATGTCACACCTTTGTCTCAAAAGAAAAGGATTAACATGATCAATTAAGACTAAAATGGTTTAAAGATTTAATTAAGAATAAAATGTTATAAAGATTTTAAAGAAAGTAGCTGTAGTTGTTAAGTTGGTAAAAAAAGATTATTATTTGTAATCAACAAAGAGTGAAATTGAAATGTTTAAAATTGATAATGATTATATTATGTTTCAAATCAGTTTAATGAATAAATTGATTCATAAGACAATTACAAGATGTCAATAAAATAGTTTTACTAAAATGTTTGAAACGGATAAAGTGAAAATTGTTTGACTTTAAGTCCTCTTGAGGAAAACTACAAATATTTACCGTATCTAATAAACAAGAGTTTATTAATATACTCTAAAGTTTAAGATTTGAATAAAACTAACATAGTTAAATAACAATACAAATTATAAAAGTCTAAAAATATTTTCACAAATTAAAATAATATAATAGAACTGTTCATAAGGTAAATTATTAATTTAAAAAATCGGATATCATGTATAATGTAAATCAGTTTAACAGATTGTAGACTAATAGTGTTGATTATATTCCTACTTTCTTATCATAATTGAGCCAACCTAACATTGCCAAAAGGATACATTATAACATGTTTAATTATAATTAAGATCGAGACTAATAAGAAGATCATACACGGTAATTAATTTTGTTTTTAAGAGAGACATCATGATGGTTGAAGAGTCTTGTACGCAACGCTCATCTCAACTTCGAAAGCGATAGATTTAGTGGCAACTCAAAACCTCTCAGTTCAACCCAAGTTGAATTGAGAGTTACAATCTTTATGTTATTCCATTTTAACCAAAATAAAACTTCAATATTTACAACCATTTTAGTCATGCATGGTTGAATAATTTACAACATTTAAAATGAATTGAAAAGTTATCATATTTTTAAAAAAAAGTTTTGAATAATTATGTATATACCAAAGGGATATTGGCTATTAGTTGTAACTTGTACTGTTATGTTTATAGATAACAATGGCCTTTAGTGGATGGACGGTTATAATTTATTTTAGACAGAAAGATAAGAAATTTAACCATTATATATGTATATATTTATATAGTCCATAGGTCTGAGTTAGAATAACATAAAATTCATTGAAAGAGACAGAAAGATTTTGAAAAAAAAAATTGAATTTGGTTTTAAATTTTAAAGAAAATGTGAATGAAAAAGTGCAGATTTCATTGTGAGATTTGAAAGGCAAGAGAAAGAGCAGAGTGTAGAATAAAACTCCATTAGAGGTAAACTTTAACTAAAATGATGAAGCTTTTTGAGTAGAAGGCAAAGCAACTAAAGAAAACAAAAATGTTGCTTCATATAATGTATTTACATGAACTCGGCCCAAACAAAAACTCAGCTACTAGATTTCCAAAATACAACTGGATTGCAAGTGCCCAGTGTACTCCTCCGGGCTCACCACTTTGGCCCAAGCCCCATTCTTCAGATCCAAAACAAAGCCCATATGCGGTTCCCCGAACCCACTTGACCCAATAACAAACATGGTCTCTTCCCACACCCCCACGCACGCAACGTTCCGAATCTCACTGGGTACCTTCGCAACCCTCCGCCATGTGTCTCCCCGCAACACCACCACTTCACCGCCGCGGCACATGTACATTTCCCCTTCGGCACCATCGCCACCGTCCACGCATGTTCGAGGACACGCGGCCGCATCCAAGAACTCCTCCTCCACCGGGCCCCACTTCCAAGTGGCCACGTCGAAAACCTCCGCGCTCTTCTCGAACCGCCCCTGCATCTCCGTGCAGTATCCACCCACCACGCAGAGCCCGCCACGGCGGAACACGGCCTTGCACTCGTCGCGCTCGCGTGACATATCCGGGAGCGGGACCCACACGTCGTTCGCTACGTCATACGCAAGCGCGGACTTCAGCGCGTTCTTCTCCTCGTCGTGCCCGCCCGCTACGTACACCGTCTGATTTTGATCCGACGCGCACGCGAAAAACGTTCGGGGCCCGCCCGGCATATCGGCCCCACGCCGCCACTTGGCCGAGAGAAAGTTGTAAATAAAAACCGAATTCGACGCTTTCCAAGAATCTGGGTCCCACCCGCCCAAAACGACAAGCTCGTACCCGACACCCGCAATCTGACAGAACATGGGTAACCCGGAAGCGAGTTCGGGTCCCAGGGGCAACTCGCTCCATAGACCCGCCTCCGGTTCGAACACGCTCAGCCGGTAAACCGGATTCGCAGAGGCCTTCGCAAGCATGCCGGTTCGGGTTTTTTCGGAGTCTATCTTGGATTGAACCGTGACAAGGATTTTTTGTGCGTGTTTTGTGGTTCTCCTCCGACGGTGAAACTCCGGCGAGTAAATCTCAGAGTTCCAACCTTTGCAGACGGATGCCACCGCCGCGAATTTCTCGTACGGAACCCTAATTAAACAGTCTCGGGCAACGTCCTCTGGTAGACCTGAAATCAACTCCATGGTAAAACAGCAGAGAGGGAAACGAAAGATGAATCTGATGTTATTGAATCAGAGAAATCCCATGAACAGCAACACGATTACGAGATCGAAGAGAGAAAAGGGTAACAAGGGTTTATGAAAAAAGGTTGCTATTTGAAAAAGAGAATCTTCTATGTTTGAAAGAGAGTGAGTGTTGAGAAGCGTACGAGAGAGAGAGGATTTTATAAGAATCACAATGGGGCGCACATGGTCTTCCAGATAAGTTCTCACTGATTTTGAGATTTGTGAATAAAATTAAAAATATAAATATGAAAAAAACGGTGGGTCTTCTAGAAGCTTTTCAGAAACCGGCAACTTGCAATCAGATCGAAGAAAGAACTAGGGGTGAACATGGTAAAACACCATGATAATGTTTTCTGCTTCCAGCCACAACCAACGGCGGTTGATTTTTTTTCTCGTAAACACAAAAAAATACGCACATCACTTTGACATCTTTTCTGTTTAATTTTTTTTTATAATATTGTTCTTCAGTACTTTTAATTTGTCTTCTCGAGGTCATCTAAACAGTGACAGAAAACTATTTTTAAATTTAAAATTATATTTTAAGGAATAAAATAACAAAAATATCATCTATGTTCTAGAAGGTTTTAACCGGCAACTGGCAAACAGAAAAAGTAGGGGTGAGATGAGCATTGAAAGCAACAATCATGTTAAATAAATACCCATTCACTTGATAAGTTTCGTAGTTCCAACCAATCTATTTAAAACAACTTTGAATAATTTATTTTTTTGTTTTTTACTTTAAACCATTTGAAATTAATTTAGTGCTTCTACTCATTTTTAAACTTAATTTAATTTAATTATCTGATTAACTATTTTAACTTTTACATTAATATATTTTGTAATTTAGGATGCATTTTTCTTCTTCTTTTATACATTTTGTATAAAATTTAAGAATACGCGTAGAAGGATATAAACAAAAATTGTATATTAAATGAAATAGTTTACTAATGAATGAAAACTAGTTATTACTTTCCATTATTGTAATATTTTTCCAAAAAATAAAATAACTAATGATAAAAAATTGAAAAGTTACATAGTTTTATTTCTATCATTAGTAAAATTATATGATTGAAATCCTATGATAGAAGTACTATGTACAAAATAGATAATAGTTTGGTGTACCATGGCCCAGTCTCTCGAGTTTAATTATATTTTAAGGTGTAACCACAGAATTTTCACTTTAAGATGAAAACACTTCCGATTGACTAAGTTTATTTTGTGGGTTGAACTAATATTATATTTTAATAATACAGAAAAAAAAAACAGCCATTATAGTCAAAATAGTTCATTTCAAATTGTTGAAATTTAAAATGAAATAAAAAATTAATTACAAAATCAAATTCAAGTATAATTTTACTTTAAATACATATTAATTTAATTTATACACATCTTATAAAACAACCATAGTCTTGTCACCGATATCAGAGTTGCTTATCTTTCTCTAATCCTTAGAAAATGTATAAAAAACAAATAAAATACTGTTTTATTTTCTTTATACCTTCTTTGCAATGGTATGATTTCGAATAATTCTGAGCTTAATTATTTAATAAAAAAAATATACAGTACCATATACTATATATGATAAGTGATATAGTAATGTTATTTAATAACAGTCAAATTTTATTTTCATAAACATATTTTACTAAATACATTATATATATTTCAACTTTAAGTGTCACGAAATAAATCTTTAATAGAAAATTAAGAAAATAAAGTTTAGTTTTTAGAATGATTTTTCATCTAGACAGTCAACATTAATATTTCCACTTTAGATCCATTAAGATAGTCTTCTCAGTTTCTAAAATGTATTTCAAAAATTACGAGAGAAAAATGTATTTAAATAATATATGTTTCAATTTTAAATGATTATTGGATATAATGAAACAAACTTCCATTCTATAACTAAGGAAATAAAGGTGGTAAAAATACCATCTTTTACCATGAAAATGTTAGCAACTATATTAACAACACAAAAATTAACGTGTAAAATAAAAAGAACAGAATAGACAATAAAAAAATAATGTAATAAAATTAAAATAACTTTCCTCTAACACCAAAAAAAATCAATGACTCTTCTCTCAGAAAAAAAAAACTATAATAAAAATCTTAAAAAAATTAAATTATTTTTCTTTTTCAAAGTTTCTCTCAAGTACCAAGATAATATAAGATAAGTTTTCTCATGCGAGTCTTCTCTGGAAAAACCATGTTATTTTTTTATAAGAATATTATTAAAACAAAATTATTAATATAATTATAAATTGCATCTATCTAATATAATTTTGTTTTAAATTTATTTTTATTTAAAATGGAACCAAAAACTATAAAAATGAAATGAAATTCTTTAGGATAAATATTACTGACTTATTCCCAGAAGACTGGTGTAGAATAATACATTTATGCAGCAGCACTTTGAAGTCATACCAATTTTTCTAGTATCATTGAAAATGGTTCAAATATCGCAAGAAAACAATACATTTAACATATAGTTATAAAACTAATTATTTAAAACTTAATTTGTTTCCTGCAAAATTTTTAAAATTTTTTAAATATTAAGTTAATAATTTCAATTTAATCTCTACATATAACATCTTTTATTATGAAAACATTTATTTATTTATTTTACTCAGTATCCAAAAAAGAAAACTCCATAATACGTTGTCAATATAAAAGTTGAAATAACCACATAAGACCATTCTTCTTACTTTTATGTTTTCTTAGAAAATATTTATCTTATGTGATCGAGGTATTGTTTTCTAATACTAGTTTGACGAAAAGTCTTTAATTAGTTGAATTTTTTCTATATTTGAATATTGATAATTAGTAATAAACAAGGGATACTTACCTTAAATTTAATGTATTTATACTTTTTTAATAACTTATACTTTAACATATTTAAATTAAATATATTTCCTAAATATAATATCATTCGACAATATTGCAATCATGTTACCTTTATGAAATAATTTGTGATATTTTATGGAATTATAATGGTTTCGGTTTCTTTAATGCAAGAATTAAAATGTAATTTGATAATATATAAGAATTAAAAAAAGCGCAGAGCATAAAATAAAGTTTATAGAATTTTTTTGAGAAATTATATTTTTTGATATACACATATTTTTTTATTTTTTTATAATATAAATTTTCTATAATTATTTTATTTTTATATTATGTGTGAAATAAATATAAATGCTTATTAATAAATTTTGAAAAAAATGATAGTTTGAAAAGGAAAGTGGGACCAGTTGTGAGATAAGAGCGAAGGTTTTGAGCGAAAACTAAAATCCAAACTGAAAGGAAAATGCTGTAATGTCATTTCAGTATCACTCTTCTCACTCTCATAATTGCCTTTTTATCTCTTCTATTCACAAATTTTGCATACTTTTCTTTCTCTTGTCTTACTATGATTTATAATTTTTTCTATAATAAAATTAATATAAACCTAAAAGTGAGATTTATTCTTATTTATATAATATAATATTTCATTTTATTTTAATTAATATAAAATCTTTAACATAATATTAATGATAAGATAATTTAAAAAAATTGATTATAATTGTATTGTACGGTAATATGGTCATGGTCATAAGATCGTGTAACCACCATATCATGTGTGGAATGGTTATTTCGACAAGAAATTAATCTGAATAATCATTAACTTTGAACAAAATAAAATTATCAATCATTTTATTGAAATTAAGTTTTTGTTAACTAAAAATTCACTTTATAAACCATAAATACAAATTTGTAATAAAAAGGTAAGTCATTTTGCATTTATTATGCATCAATTGGAGATTTTTTTACAAGTAATCTTTAGACATGACTGAATGAAAAAAAAAGTATTATCACTACATAAAAACTTATGCAAGGAGTCACAAACAAACTTGAAAAATTGTGTTCCTCTACCCCATATAGAAACAATAATAAACCTTAATTTTAAATTAAGAAATAGGTTTAAAGTTTATATTTCAACTATGATTAATGAAATTTGACTTGCTCCGATATTTTTAAATTTTTTTTAAAAAGTGTTATCAAATTTTAATATGTTTGATAAACGAAAAAAAAAATCAAATATTGACTTTTTGTTTAATTTAATAATTATACACGTTTTTCTTTAAATAAAATTTTACCACGTTTTGTTTGACACTAAAAATGATGATAAATCATTTTATCTCGTACTTTTGCTAAAAAATATATTTCAATAAAATAATTAAAAGAAAAAGAAGAAAAGGAAATAATATTCATAAAATTTAAGATAAAAATTACAACATAACTTTCTTTGTTTTTACACAAATTTGATTACGTGTATTACAACGTACCAATTATGTATCACATATATAACACATTAATTATGCATATATAAAAATTTATACATGATTATGTATTACAACATACCCAATTAGCTATACATACATAAGCCATATACATAATCAATGATTCCTTATAACATAATTAATTATTAATATATATTTACGTTTCTAATTCTCATCCCAATCGAAAAGAAACCCTAATTGTGTTTGAGAACTGCAATTCCGAGATTTCAACGAAAATGATAGGATAGGATAGGATTCATTGCTTGCTCTATGGTTCAAAACGATGGATGAGCTTATCTCTTTATTTTTGGTTTCCCACAGCATTTTGGAGTGAAGGGAAGGATCTTTATTCATGCAATGGACCCCACCCATGACCCACTTCCTGAAGCTTTTTAACTTTTCCATTTCAAGATCAAAGCTTCGTGCTTTCACCGACAAATGGAGTGAAATTTGACCTTTTGCTTCCATTAAAACTTCCTACTTAAGTTGCTTCATTCCATTGATAACTTCTTTGTCCACATTAAAGTTCCAACCGGTAAGGTTCACGTCGCATTTCAAACCAAAAATCACATCAAACATTAATATTTGCAAATGAAAATATTGAAAGTAAACCAGAAAACAGACAAGTCATTGCACACTGTTTTTTTAATGCCTTTTAAACGCGTTCCAGACAACGTCTGCAGCGTACCAGTTTTGTCGTCGCGTTATTGGATTAGTAAAATCTTAATTATTGGTTCAACGTTAATACAATTGTTAATTTTTGAGGTATCGAGACTCATATTCTGTATAGTTTTATAGATATTTGTTAACGAAAGTGATAAGAATGAAATTGAAAGTGTGGGATTTGTGAGACAGGCGATGATGGAGATGGTA